GAGAGAGAGAGAGAACGAGAAAGGAAAGGATGAGGAAAAGAGAGAGAGGTAGTATGTATGTGTGCGTGAAAAAGGCGGACAAAAAGCTAAATGAAAAATGGAAGCTATGATAATGTTAAGTAAAAACTATGAGAAAATTTTTCATTTCATTACGGGCTTAATCTCGAATTTTTGAAACAATTGAAATAGAGCATCGATTAATTATTTGTAGAAATATTATAGAAATATGCACTTTTTTAGTTTAGCTTTGCATTAACTAAAATGCTAAAATGATAAAATTAAATCTCTAAAAATTTATCTTGAAAAAATTTAATTAATTTTATTCTTTTAATTGATTTCACACGTAATTTCAAATTTTTCAGTCAATTTTAGAATAAAGTTTTAAAGTAAAATTATATTTTAATTTCTAAAAATAGATTAGATAGAGAAAATTATATTGAAAACAAAATTTAAAAAGAATCTATTTTTAGAAATGTAAAATATTTTACTTTAATGATTTAAAAATACTTTCACAAAATAAATTTTTAAGATTTGTCATTTTATTAAAATTTAATCAAGAAAAATTTAATATATAAAAAGTTACAAGATTAGTCAACAAATTTGGAAATATTTATGGAGCAATCCACTTAGTTTAAACTGACAAAATTATTAAAGTAATTTGTAATATATATCAGATGAGAGAGAATTATAATAAAATTATTCATCAAATTTATTCATAAAATTGTTTATTTAATGCAAAACTCAAAGATTATATGCAATATTCGGAATTAATTAATATGTTAAATTTATAAAATATGAAATTATTTTTGTAGTATATAATTATGTATAAAAATTAGAAATACTGAAAAATATATTAAATAAATTATTTCGATAATATAATAAAGTCATTTCTAATACTAAATCGCGGATTACTTCCATTAAATGTTATTTAAGTAATCATACAAACAATAAACTTGATAAACAAGTAAGCTTGTTAAATAAATTTACCAAATAAATCCCGCGCCGTCGTCATATTTACAAAAGAAAATAAATTTTCATAAACTCGACACCGCGAGTAGAGGAATATTGAAAAGTAAAGGAACACGGAAAGACAGAATATTTAAAGAATGAAGAGGACGGACAAAGACAGATAAACGGCTAATTTCTCTATGAATAATGAATTATGATTAATTAATAGATAACAACGTAAACACTCACACTCAAACACAAAAGAACAGATATACACATGTGTAAACACATATAGTTAAGTAATCATTATCTGTAATTAAATGAGCAAGCAAAGTATAAAAAACGAAGTATAAAAAGCCAAAAAAAGTAAACTGATAATTATAATACGGCGTAAGTGATATTTCATTACACACACACACACACACACACACACACACACACACACACACACACACACACACACACACACACACACATGCATGAACACAAATATAGTGTCCCTTATTTATAAATACCCAAGACAAAAAGCTTAGGGTAATTTCTGTTCTTCCGCAGATTTATATAATACATTTTTTAAATCTATTACAAAACAGTGAAAAAGATAAAAAAAGAAATTTTAAAAATTATTAATTTAAGCAAAAATTACAAAATAAACTTAAAAAGAAATGGAAAAATAGGTGTTTAGGGTATAAAAGTTAACAAAGATAAATTAAAAAATTTAAGAGATATTTTGAGAAAATTTATTTATAAATTAATTTTATTTATAAAAATAATAGACTGCCGAATGTGCAATAGAATAAAGAATATAGAATAAATAGGGGACACACTAAACATACATATACATTCAAAGAGTACAAATTTCACTAATCCTTCATTGGGTGTTCTCGCTATTATCATCCTTCTATGAGACGCGTTTTTTTTTTTTTTTTTCTCACGACCTTTGACTATTTCCAGATCGTTCGTGAATAATATACGAAACGAACAATTGAGATTATGGATTGAAACCGATACAATTTCGTCGAGTTTCCTTTTAATAACAAAATGATTCTATTTTGATGCGAATGGCAATAATTATTTATCTTTCTCAATTTTAACAAGATAATATCTGTACTAATAAAAATAATTTTTAAATCATTAAAGAATATTATAATATTAGTATTGATTTAAATATACGGCATATTATAGTACGACAGATCGAATTCGAACGAAATTATAACGGTTTCGATTTTTAATATGATCGGAAATTGGAGAAGCTCTCGACTTAAAGGAAAAGGTCCTTTTGTAAAATTGGCATTGAACAATAGTTTAATGAATAGACTGATTACCAAATATAATGATCTCTGAAGATGAACGTTAATTTGTAGGCTGGAAACGAACGTTTTTAATCAACATATTGCGAAAAGTAATCCTTTGCAAATGTGCCGTCGGTTAACCCTTTAACTTTTCCACTGTATGTGGAATATGCAAAATAATCGGAAAATCTATCATTAAAATGAATAGAGACAAATTATAAAGAAATCTAAATGAAGTGTTTCTTTTATTACGTTATTTGCTAATAAAAAGTTTCTTAATTTAAAAATAGAATTTAATTGTTTTAACTTTTTGGGACTGTTTTTAGATTAGGAAATAATGAAACATGCCGAACAAAATTTTTTCGCAATATGCAAAAAAAGAGAAACTTACAATAATAAAGAGAAACTTACATTTAATAAAAATGCAATCGCGATCTGTTTGAGAAATCTGATTTACAATTTTGTGAAAAATTTACGGTACAAAAATCAATACTAAATTGTATATACAAAATGTATTCTTCAAAATGTATTTCTTTATACTTTAATTTTATTTGTATTATTTTTCTCTTTAGTTTATTTTTCGATTTATTATATTTTTTATATATTTCTATACTTTTCTTTTTCTTCTTATTTTTAGCTTATAAACATTTTCATATTATTGACGCAGTATTATACTATTAATATAACATTGAAAAAGATTGATCGACAAAACAAAATTCTAGTGATATTTAGTATTAAACATTGAAAGCTTTGACAAGAGATTAAAAATTTGCACATTTTATTAATATAAAGTTATTAATATATAAAATAAAAATTATTTGAAGAATTAGTTGTAAACATGACACACATTTTTTTTCTTTTATTACATCTCTTTATTATACTCACAGTATTATGTACGTTAGAGAAATATTTTAAAATTAATAACATTAATTAAAATATTTCTATGTAAATAGAACATATTCTAGTTGTATGGATTACAATACTTTAGAATCAAACACATATAAAATGAATTTAATTGAATATTATGAAGTTCAGATCTAAAAAATCGGAAATCAGATGTAATAAAAGTGTAAACTACGAAAATTTTTTAACCATTAAAATTAGATATTTTTTGAATTTATTTAAATAAAATAAAATTATAATATTTAATACAGATTTGAAATTTTGAAGGGATTCAACATTTTAAACATTAAATATTTTGCATTAAATTAAACGTTAAAATTTTAAAAGATATTGACAAGTGAAATATTCAATATATATCTTCAAAAATGGCAAACAAAAGCATTGAAAAAAAATTTTTTAACTAACTGTGGATGTGTTTAGCTTTTAAGCTAAATATAAGTTAAAGGGTTAACTGTTGGAATAGTAGTTGAATTAATAGACCAAAAACGTATAACACAAAAATACATCTTGACCAATAAAAAAGAAAACGAAACAACAGCCAACGGAAGAAAGGTAGATATCAGGAAGTAAAATTGTGAAGATGATAGAGCTTTACGAGGTCAAATCCCGCTGAAAAAACGACCAAGCCGAGTGAAATATTTTCAGCGAGGCATACCGCGATTTTTAATATTGAATCGAATATTGATTGTTGTATCAACAATCGCCTATATAGCTATATTGCAATCATATTGGTTGTTGCACGAATCTATCGTGGTGAATACATCATAATTACAAATGGCGGGCTTTGACCATAAATATTGTATGTGTAATCCTGCATCTATCTTTCAGACAATTTCTTTAAATTTCTTTTTCAAATTATTAATATTTTTAATCTTGTATGGAAACTTTTTTTATCGACTTTAATATAATCTGATAATCTTTTTTTATAATTCAATTTTATATCACTATATTTAATTTTTAACAGAAAAATTTATGTATATTA